ATGGGCAAAGAGAATTGAAGAGCATAACGTTGACAATACTGCTAACACACCAGAAATGATCAAGAAGTCGGATTTGGCGATTATATTTCGTACATCTCGACTTTTACATTTCTGTAGAACGCCATTACATTTTGGCGGTAATGCAGATTCATTTACGCGTACATCACCTACTCGTGATTTCCAAACTTTAAGTGATACTGCATTTTCTCGTTGGTATCAAGACATGTCCGAAACATTCTTACAAGAATACTCTTCTTACCTTGAAGAAATTGGTATGCAAGTAGTAATTGGAGGCAAATCTGGCGTAAATTTAGTTGACGATGGGACATCAAAGTCATCTGCTACAGAAAATGTGCTTGCCAATTCTCCTGCTGTATTCTTGCTAAAAGTGCTTCAAGGAGGTTCTATCATGTGTGAAGTTCGAATTCAAGGTGTTTTTGTAAGTGTGACCCTATATATACTCAATCAAGGACAGCATCTACCGTCACTAGGATTTTCTGACGTTGATAGTGACCGTGGAAACCTGAGGATATTTACTGAGGAATGTGGACGATTCAGAAAAATGATTCATGTAAATTCTTTTGTTTATGACTTCCATCTACGTTATATAAAACGTGTATTGGAATCTCAATCACAAACCTCCCCAGCCTTTAATGTTTTGGATGTTATTAATGCGTTCATTCGCCGTAATCGCCAACCTGCGCATTTTTCACGTAATCGTATTTATCACGATAGCTATGATAAAGAATTAGGATCGATACCTGATAGTTTATATAAATTTATAATATCAGCACCCCAACGATACGGGTTTAGACCAATAAATTTTAATGGTGAACCAATCGCTTGTTTTACGACGTCTATATGTGGAGACCAATGCTCCTTAGAATCTTGCGATCTATGTTCAATTTTAGGAAATGATACACCACAAATCACGTTAGTTTTTACTTCTTCGAACCAGGCACCCACGGCAGGAACTACATCTTTGGAATATTTTGTAATCGTGGTGAACGATCATTATGTGCCCCTTGATTCTACTTTAAATGTTAGGGATTCCTATCGCGGTTATATATACCAAGCATCAGATATTTATTCAAACAATGATCTCGGAGAAAAGAAATATGCCCTAATAAACCGTACTCGTGAAAGACTTAAGTTGGTTATAAATCAAGTAAGATCATGTTATTTTGTATTTGTATTTTTCATCTATTTTTTTATATACTTAGAAATTTAATACTTAATTATAGGCTGTACAATTTAAGCGA